CGGCATGGCGGGACGGGGGGATGGGGTGGGCGAGGGGGTCGGGAATTGTTGGGAAAACGTTGGGAGGGACACGTGGAGAAGGTGGGATGGGATGGGATGGGATGGATGGGATGGGATGGGATGGGATGGGATGGGATGGGATGGGATGGGATGGAGTGGAATGGGATTGGATGGGGTCGGGTGGGATGGAATGGGATGGAATGGAGTGGAATGGGATGGGATGGGATGGATTGGGACGGGAACGGCTGGGATGGGGGGTGGGGGTGGGGATGGGATGGGATGGGATGGAATGGGATGGAAGTGTGGCGTGGGATGGAAGTGTGGGGTGGGTGGAGGTGGGGTTGGGTGGGGATGGGTGTGATGGGAAGGAGGGACAGGATGGAGATGGTTGTGGTGGGAATTTGGGGTGCACGGATGGAGGGATGGGATTGGAAGGATGGGATGGGTGTGTGGGGTGGGTGGAGAACGTGGGGTGTGAATTGGTATGGGGAGAGGGATGGGAGGGATGGATGGGGATGGAGGTGATGGGGTTGGATGGAATGGAGATGGTTGGGATGAGTGGAGAAGGGATGGATATTTGGGACGGACATTGGGATGGATGGAGACATAGGATGGATGTAAAGGTTGGGTTGGAAACATGGGATGCGTGGAGAGACAGGATGGAAGTATGGGGGATGGAGGGATGGGATGGAGGGCTGGGGGATGGAGCAGAACAGATGCAGTTGGGGCGTGCACTGGGAGGTTGGGATGGAGGCCCGTGCGCCGGCCCCCAGCTGCCCTTCGAGAAGAACTGTGGTGAGGACAACCAGTGTGTGCCCGACCTCCGCGTGGCCCTCAGCTTCTCAGGGTATGTTCCCCCCATGGCCTCACCTCACGTGAGGCACCCCATGTCCCTGCCCCACACCCACTGCTGCCGCCCTGTAGGCTGGAGGAGCTGGTGGTGGGCATCACTGAGGACGTCACCATCACCGTCACCGTGCACAACGTCGGGGAGGATGCCTATGGGGCCCACGTGGAGCTGCGGCACCCCAAGGCACTCTCCTACCGCAAGGCCACCGCGCTGCAGGTGCCCACGGGGAGCGGGGGAACTGCCGCCCCACAGGGGCTGCCCCACATTCCCCCAGACCCTCCAGATGCTCTCTGGACCCCCAAAATCCCATCCCGGATGTTCTCAAGACCCCACAGATGTCATTATGGCACCCAAAACTTTATCCAGATGCCCTCGAGATCCTCACATCCTCTACAGATGTCCCCAAGACCTCAAATCTCCTCAAGTTCCTATAGAATCCTGCATATCCCCACACCCCAAACCCATTTCAGATGTCCTCAAGAGTACAGACCTCATCTAGCTGACCCCAATCCCATCCAGAGGCCCTCAAAACCCCTGATTTCTCCAGATGCCCTCAAGACCACAGAGAATCCCATGTGTCCCCAGAACACCAAACCCCAATCAGATGACCCCAAACCTCCCTTCCCCCACCCCCAGACCCCACCCCAGGTCCCTCCACACCCCCCACCCACCCACCCACCCCATAGCTGACCCTGTGCTCCACAGCCCCACCGCAGGTCCCTGGCACAGCACTGCAGCTCAGTGTCTCCAGGAGGTGGGCACATCCTCTGCAACATCAGCCACCCCGTGCTGTGGGCTGGCCAGCAGGTGGGCTGCTATGGAGCACTGTGAGGCTCTGTGGGGTGCTGTGGGGCTCTGTGGGGTGCTATGGGCTCTGTGAGGCTCTATGGGGGTCTGTGAGCCTCTAAGGGCTCTGTGGGGTGTTATGAGGCTCTATGGGCTCTGTTGGGCACTATGAGATGCTATGGGGTTCTGTGGGATCTAGGGGGCTCAATGAGATGCTATGGGGTGCTGTGGAGAGCTATGGGTGCTATGGGCTCTATGGCAATTGATGAGGCTCTAAGAGTTCCATGGGGTGCTATGGGGTTCTATGGGGAGCTATGAGAATCCACGGATTCCATGGGGGCACTACGTGCTTTATGGGGCTCTATAGGGCTTTATGGAACTCTGTGGGGTGCTGTGGGCCCTGTGGAGCTCCATGGGACTCCGTGGGGCCCCATGGGGTGCTATGGGGCTGAGCCCCACACCCTGTGCCCCCCCAGCTCGTGTTCGCTGTCACCATGGATGTGCCCCACGAGGCTGAGCTGGGGGACAGAGCAGAGGTGGTGGCGTTGGCCAGCAGGTGGGTGACACCGCAGCGTCACACTGTGACACCGCACGGCCATGGGTGGCACTGCAGTGCTGTGTGGGGCTGTGACATCGTGACATGGTGTGATGTGGTGTGACACTGGGCAACAGTGTGACACGGTGACACCACGTGATGCCGTGTGACATGGTGTGACACTGTGTGAGAATTTGATAGAGGGTGATATGGTGTGATACACCAACACTGTGCTATGTGACACTGTGACATGGGGTGACAGAGTGACAGTGGGCAATTTCCTTTGATGTTGTGTGACACTGTGTGACATGGGGTGACACCGTGACACTGACATGAGATGACATGGTTAGTGACACAGTGATGTGCCGTGGTGTGACATGGTGTGAGTGACATGGGTGGCAGTGTGTGACACAGTGGACACAGCGTGACCCTACGTGGGTCACCCTCAGTGACACTGAGTCTGTGTGATGCCGTGTGACACTGCGTGACACTGTGACGCCATGTGACATTGTGTGACACTGTGTGACACCGCGTGACATCGTGTGACATCGTGTGATGCGATGGGATGCTGTGTGACTGACAGCGGGTGGCACGGGGTGAGATGGTGACACTCTGAGGCTGCCATGGTGACGCAGCCCACGAGTCCCGCTGTCCCCGCAGCGTCCCCCCACCCGTGAGCTCCCCTCAGGCACGTGCTGAGCTCCCGGTGCTGTACAGCGTCGTGCTGCTGCTCACCAGGTGGGTCCCCGACGCGCCCCACATCCCCACGGCGCCGCCGCCCCACATCCGCGTCTCCTCGCCCCACGCGGCCGCCCGCCTCCCCTCGTCCCCGTGGGCGTCCCCGTCACCCCGCGTCTCCGCGGCCGTCCCCGCGACCCAACGTGCCGCACCCTACGGACGAGGGCCGCCCCGTGGGTTCCCCGCTCCCCGCATCTCCGCGGCCGCCCCACGTCCCCACACGTTCCCCCGGCGTCCCCGCGCCCCGCCGTCCCCGCGGCTGTCCCCGCATCCCCGCGGTGCCCGGCCGCACCCGTGACGCGCCGTGTCCCCGCTGTCCCCGCAGCTCTCCGTCGTCCACGCGCTCGGTGCCCGCAGGACAGACGGCGCTGCAGCACCGCTACCGGCTGGAGGCGCAGGGCGCGCGCCGCCCCAACGGCAGCGCCGCCATCCGGGTGCCCAGGGCGCTGCGCGGCGCGGACCTCTGGGAGGAGCTGCGGGTGGAGGGGCCGCAGGTGCGGCGGGGCCGCGGGTGGGGCGGGGCCGGGGCGGGCCGGGGCCGGCGAAAATGGGACGCGAAAGCGAAGGTTGGCCCGAAGGACCCCGGGGACGCGGCGGAGCCCCGCTGACCTCATAGAGCCCCAGAGCCCCGCAGGCCCCGTAAAGCCCACCGTCCCGTAGAAGCCTGCAGAGTACCTTGGGCCCCATACGGCCCGTGAGGCCCTACGTAGCCCGTAGAGCCCCGCAGAGCTGCATAGACCCCATAGAACCCATACAGCTCCTTTGACCTCATTCCCCCACAGACCCCACCGTCCCATAGCGTCCCTTTGTCCCCATTTACCCCCGCCTCCCCCAGCACTACAGCTCTGCCCCCCACTCCCCAGGGGTCTCAGACCCCAATCCTCCTGGAGTCAGCAGGTTTGGGATTGCCCTGGGGGTCTGGCTCCTGCTGTGGGGCTGGGTTCTGCTGTAGGGCCAGGTCCCGCTGTTGGTCTGGGTCCTCCTATGGGTCTGGGGGCTCGCTGTGGGTCTGGAGATGCACAGGGATCTGTTATGGGGCTGGGAGTTCTTTATGGGTCTGGGTCCCACTGTGGGGCCAGATTCCACCGTGGGTCTGCATTCCTCTGTGGGTCTGGGGATGTCCTATGGGGATGGGGTTCTTCTATGGGGCTGGAGACGCTTATGGGGCTGGGGGCTCGTTGTGGGTTTGGGGATCTTCTATGGGGTTGAGTCCCCATAGGGGCCAGGTTCCGCTACAGGTTTGGAGTCTGCTATGGGTCTGGGGTTCTCCTATGGGGCTGGGGCCCTGCTATGGATTGTTGGGGGGTGGTGACACTTACAGGGATGGGGTTTTTCTATAGGGTTGGGGTTTTACTATAGGGTCTGGTTTCCCCTATAGTTATGGGTCTTGCTATAGGGCTGGATTTCTCTATCTGTCTGGGGTTCCGGTATGGGTTTTGGGGGTACCCTTTGGGGTTGGGGGTCAGCTATGCGTCTAGAGGTTTTCTATGGGGCTGGGCCCCACTGAGGGGATGGGGGCCTGCTATGGGGACATTTATAGGGTTCACTATGGGGCTGGGGCTTCCTTATGGGTCTGACTCCTTCTGTGGGTCTGGGAGCTCCCTTTGGGGCTGGAAGCTGCTGCTGCTGTAGGGCTGACTGTATGGGGGGGTCTGCTATGGTGCTGGGTATTTGCTCCGGGTGTGGGGTTCCCCTATGGGGCTGGGGGTTTCCTGCAGGTGTGGGGCTGGGGTTCTCCTGGGGTCGGGCTCTCCTATAGAAATGGGTTTCTCTGTAGAGATGAAACCAGCTATGGGGGCTGTGTCCCACAGACCACTGACCCCATCGTGCTCCCCATTCCCCCACAGCCATGTGCCTCTGCCTCAAATTCCTCGGGTGTTCAGGACCCCAACCCTCTCCTGCGGCAGAACCCGGTGGTGGTGAGCGCGCACAGCCCCAACCCCTCTGTTGGCCACGCCCCTTTATTGCGCCGGCCCCGCAGCCCCGCCTGCTCCCCTTAACTCCGCCCCTTCCTCAGCTCCGCCCCATTGCCGCATGGCGCCGCCATTCCCCGTAACCCCGCCCTCTTCCCGGCCGCACTCCTCAGCCCTCACCGCCCCGTTTCTGTGCAGCCGCGCCCTTTCTGTCTGCCCGCCCCTCCCCCGTAGCCACGCCCCTTCCCGAGAGCCCCGCCCAATTCGCCCCGCGGCCCCGCCCCGTTCCTTGGCCCCGCCCCCTTGCCGCCACACCCGCTCCCTTTTCCTTTGCCGCCTTTGTGACCCCGCCCCCTTCCCCCGGCCCCGCCCCCGGCCGCTCTGCACCAATAGGATTGCAGCGTGGCCGCCTGCTGGGAGTGGCACTGTCCGTGGGGCGGTGCGCTGCCCCCCGGGGGCGTGGAGTTCAGCGTTGTGGGGCAGCTGCGGCGAGACTGGGTGCAGCAGGTGGGTCCGGGGCTGTATGGTGTGGGTGGGATATGGGGTATTTGGCGTGGGGTTATGCGGTATGTAATATGAGGCTGTGGGGAGATGTGGGGTGGGGTATTGGGGCTGTATGGTGGTGTGGGAAGGGCCACTGGGATCTATGGACTCCCGTTGGGCTACATAAACTATGGGGTTTATGTGGCCCCGGGGGGCAGCTGTGGGGATGGGCAACGTGATGGAGGCGTGTGGGATTGGAGGTGCTGTGGTGCAGCCATGGGGCAGCTGTAGGGCATGAGAATGCAATGGGGCTGGGGAAGTGGGGCTGCCATAGGTCTGGGAATGCTGTGGTGGCTGTGGGCTGAAGAACTTTATGAGGTGAGGTATATATGGGGGGATGCGGGACTGCTTCTGGGCTGGGATGTGCTATGGGGCTGTTATGGGGAAATGTGGCAGCAGCTGTGGGGCTGGCGAGTGCTGTGGGGCTGCAAAAGGACCACTGTGGGGCTGGAGAACACTATCGTGTGGGATGTGCTGCGGGGCCAAGGCTGCTATGGGGCAGGTGTGCTATGGGGCTGCGGGAGAAGTGGGGTGTTGTGGGGTCTGTGGGGAGGTGTGGTGGGAAATGAGGGGGCTGGGCCTGGTCATGGGGGGGAGTGGGCGGGGCCATGAGGAGGTGTGGGCGGGGCCACGGCTGTGGGCGGGGCCGTGGCGCAGTGACCTCCCTCCTTCCCCCCCCTCCCCTCCTCTCCCCGCAGCTGCCCCTCCCCCACGTGGAACTGCAGAGCTCCGTTCAGCTGCAGCCCGAGGGGGGGCGCTACCGGAATGTGGGCCGGGACCGCCTGGAGGTGGGCGGGGCTTTGGGAGGGGGGCCCCGATGAGCCTCGTGCAGCGCGTGGAGCCACGCAGAGCCCTATAAAGTCCGTAGAGCCCCACGCACCGTGCTGAGCACGTGAAAGCTCGTGGAACCCGTTGCCCCGCAGAGCCCTATAGACCCCATAGCACCCATAAAACCTACGGAGCCCACAGAGCCCCGTAGACCCCACAGAGCCCATTGGGCGGGCGCACGGAGCCCTATAGAGCCCGTAGCTCCTCACGGACCCCGTAGCAACCCGTAGATCCCCCGAAGCCTCACACGGCCCTGTAGAGCCCGCAGACCCAATGAAGCCCCGTGGCTCCCACCGAGCCCCGCGAGAGCCCCTCGGCGCCCCCTGTCCCGCCCCCCGGCTGACCCCGCCCCGTCCCGCAGGTCCGCACGGAGCTCCGCCCTGCAGCCCCCCCGGTGCCGCTGGGCGCCACGCTGGGCGCGGTGTTGGCGGGGCTGCTGCTGGCGGCCGCGGCGGGAGCGGTGCTGCGGAAGGTGAGGGCGGGGCTGCGCGGGGAGCGGCCTGTGCGGGGTAACGGGGAGGAGGGCGAGGGCGAGGGGCGGGGCTCCTGGGGGCCCCGCCCACAACGCCCGGTGCTGACTCCGCCCCTTCCGCTCCAGGTCGGCTTCTTCCGGCGGCACTACAAAGAGATGCGGGAGGAGGGAGCCGAGGGGGGAGGGGCCGAGGGGGGCGGGGCCGAGGGGGGCGGGGGAGGAGCTCAGAAAGAATGAGGGGGGAGGATAGGGGGTGGTTGTGGGGCTGGAGAACGCTGTGGGGTTGCTATGGAGAGATGTGTGGCTGCTACCTATGGGAATGGTTGTGGGGTTGGTGAATGCCATGGGGCTGCTATGGGGAGATATGGGGCAGCAATGGGGCTGGGTGTGCTGTGGGGAGGATTGGAGCAGATGTGGGGCTGGGGAGCATCGCTGTGTGGGGCTGGGGCTGCTATGGGGCTTGGGATTGCTTTGGGGCTGAGAGCGTTGTAGAGCCACTGTGGGGAGATATGGGGTGGTTGGGGGTCTTGGTGCGGAGTCAGAGCCTGCTGTAGGGCCACCCCATTGCTCTGTCAGCAATAAATGTCACTGCCCCACAGTGCTATGAGGTCAAGGAATTCTGTGGGGCTGGGGGCGGGAAGGGAGGGCAACAGGGGGAGTCCGTATGGGTCAGGGCTCCCTGTGGGTCTGGATGTCCCGTTGTGAGTTCGGCTGTAGGGCCTATGGTCACACCTCGCTATGGGTCACATCCTGCTATAGGTTGCGTTACATGTCTTGCTATAGGGCAGCCCACTCCGTGGGCCTCCTTGTGGGTCACAGCTCCCCTGTGGGTCTGAGTCCCTCTATGGGTCTCACAATGGGTTGGATCCTGCTATGGGTCCCTCTGTGGATCAGAGCCCTTCTAGGGGTCCCACTATGGGTCCCTCTATGGGTCTGGATGTCTCTATAGGTCCCCCCCAGAGGTCTCACTATTGGTCAGGGCTGTGCGATGGATGCTGCTATGGCTCAGACTGTGCTATGGGTTGGATCCCATAGGATCCACATGTGGGACTACTCTGTAGCTTTCCCGTAGGACCCATACATATTCAGCTGCCCCACAACTTCCCTTTGGAACGTATGTGGAGCTCTCCACACTTTCCCATAGGACCCGCACATGTGGGTTGCGTCACGTCCTCCCTTGGGCATCACCTGTGGGGCTGTACCATCTCTGCCCCACAGCTTCCCATTGAGTCTCATACATAGGGGGTTGTCCCACATCTACCCCGCAACTTCCACTGGAACCCACACGTGGGGCAGCCCCGCAACCCCCCATCCATCCCTATGGGACCCTCTCCCCCCACGGGATCATTTCTGTGGTGGGGTCTGTGGGAGCGGTCCCCCTATGGGGTCCTCCCCTGTTCTGGGGTCTTCGGGGGGGGGTCCTCCCGTTTGGGGTTTCTTGGGGGGTCCCTACGGATATTGGGGTCCGGCAGGGGCTGGCGGTCCTCCCCTATTTCGTTTTAATTTGGGGGATGTCCCCGTACATACTGGGGTGCGGGGGGGGGGGGTCCGCCTTGGGTTCCTGGGGGGGGAATCTCTCATTGCGGTATTTTTGGGGGAGGCGTCCGTGAGGGTCCGGGGACCCGCCAGTCCGCCCGCCGGCACAGCCCCCCGGTGCGGCCTCCCGCTCCGTGGGGGGCGGGGGGGGGGGTCACCGAGGGCCCGCTGGGGCGGAGCTGCGGGGCGGAGCTGCGGGCGCACGGCTGCGGTGATAACGGCGGCGGCGCGCAGAGCGGCGCATCTCCGCGCGCGTCCGCACGCAGCGGCGGAGCGCGGCGTCGCCGCGGCGGTTCACGCAGAGCGGGACGGACGGACGCACCGGGAGCGACGCTCGCGGGCCGGGCGAGGAGCGCAGCGCACGTGCGCGGTGCCGAGACGGGGCCGCGGGGGGAGACCGCCCCGCTGCCGGGCTCCTGGAGCGGCCCGCACCGCGCCGCTCTCCCTCGTGGGCGCCGTTCCGCCGCCCGGCGCCGGAACTCCGGACCGGGCGGAGCCGCACCGCGCGGAACCTCGCGGTCCCACCGCGTACGGGGCGCGTCAGTGGAGGTGCCGGCAGGCGGAGGCCGGCGCAGCGCGGCCGCGTTCCGCCCGGGGCCGTCGCGGTGTTGCCGGGCGCTGCCCCGGACCCCGCGGCGCGGCAGGGCGGCACCGCGCTTCCGGAGCCCCCCGCGGCCGTGAGGGAAAGGGGGAGAACGAAGGGAAATGAGGAAAGCGATGGGAAGAAATGGAAAGCGGGGTAAAATGGTGGAGAAGCGGAGGCAGCGGGCGGGGAACCCAACGGCTGTGCTCGGCAGAGCTGTGCGATCACTGCACCATCCCGGAGCTGCGGGGAGTGCAGCAAAGGAAGAATGCAGAACGCTAGCACGGGTCCGAGTGGAGGGACGCTAAGATTATCAGAGGGCTGGAGCACCTCTCCTACGAAGAAATCACAGAATGGCCAGGATTGGATGGGACCTCAAGGATCACGAATCTCCAGTCCCCCTGCTGCAGCGTGCAGGGCCACCAACCTCCCATTTAATTCCAGCCCGGGCTGCCCAGGGCTCCATCCAACCTGGCCTTGAACACCTCCAGGGATGGACGGGGCATCCACAGCCTCTCTGGGCAGCTGTTCCAGCACCTCACCACTCATAGCAAAGAGCTTCCCCCTGACATCCAACCTCAGTGTTCCCTCCCTCAACTTCAAACCATTTCCCTTGTGCTGCTGGTATCTACTTTTTCAAAAAGTTGATTCCCCTCCTGTTTGTAAGCTCCCTTTAGGACCTTTAGGTTCTGGAAGGCTGCAGTGAGGTCACCCCACAGCCTTCTTTTCTCCAAGCTGAACAAGCCCAGCTCTGTCAGTATGTCTCTGTAGGGCAGGTTCTCCAGCCTTCTGATCATCTTTGTGGCTCCTCTGGACCCTCTCCAACAGCACTCAATAGCAGGGGATTGAAACTGGATGATCATTATGGTCCTTTTCAGCCCAGGCCATTCTATGATCCTATGGTTTACCTTCTGCTTGAATCCACAAAGGCTTGTGGCAAGCACACTTGCTGAAGACCCAACAGACATGGTGGTACAAAACTGCTGGCAGGCCTGGAGGGAAGTTTTAGGCTCATCATCACGTAGGACAACATACCAGTAAAAATGCCTGTGTGTGTCAAAGCTCTGCCTGAGTTATCAGCCCGGAGGCCTGAACAGCAGTGAGAGCGCGTGTGTGCAGCCAGCCAAAGTTCTGCTCACCACGTTGTGCTCTGTGGTAAGGCCTCCCTCTTAGCGCATTAAGGGAAGGCAGTGGATGGAATCTTGCTGGATTTCAGTGATGCCTTGGATGCTGTCGCTCGCGGTGTCCTTCTGGACAGGCTGTCCAGCTGTGAGCTAGATAAGTCGTGGCTGGGTGGCAGAGCTCAGAGAGTCGCAGTGCATGCACTGCGTCTGCCCGGTGTGGTGTTCTCGGCCGGTTCTGATGAACTCTTTAATCAGTGACTTGGATGCAGGCGGGAGCATGTCCTCTGCAAGTTTCCTAATGGTACCTAACTGCTGTAGGCTCCCTGGAAGGCTGAGAGGCCTTGCAGAAGGATCTAGATCATGGCTGTCCAACCTCTTGGCTGGCCTGGGCCACACTGAGCAAACAGGAATTGCCTTGGAACACATATAAAATATATAATAAATTTAACGCATTTAAGTAAGCAACCCTTTTTTAATGTATTTTTTTTAGTAAAGCATAAAAAAGCAGAGAGCAACAGGGCCATAAGGGAACAGGAAATTCAAGAAAGCAAGTTAGAACCTAACTGAAAGACTGATTGTGCTGCAATGTCGATGCCAGCAGAAGATGAAGAAAATTCATAATTGATTAGATTTGTCTGCTTTGGGCTTGAATTATTCATTGCAGAAATGTATCCAGTGTTTTTTTTTTTTTTTTTTTTGCACCCTTATAACCCACTGTGGTTACTTTTTTGGGACTAATCCTTTTGGTATTACCTGCCCAGCCAAACTGAGCACACAAATCTGCTGCAGCTCCTACGGGAACTCGGGAAAGCCCTCCCTTGCTCCATGTCCTGCTTTCAGCTGGGACAAAGTTGATTTCCTTCACAGGGTCTGGTGTGATGCTGTGCTTTGGCTTTAGGAGAAGGAGACTGTTGATAACACTCTCATGTTTTAGTTTTTGCTGAGCAGTGCTGCAGAGAGCCAAGGAGATTTCAGCTTCTCAGCTCCTTGCCCTGTCCTGTCAGCAAGGGGCTGGGGGGCACAAGGAGCTGGGAGGGGCAGAGCCGGGACAGCTATCCTCAAGTGACCAAAGAGGTCTTCCATCGCATATGAGGTCACACGAGAAACTGTAAAATGGAGAGGTGTTGGCCAGGGGCCGGCCACAGCTCAGGGTCTGGCTGCATGTCGGTCGGCGCGTGGCGAGCAGCTGCTTGTGCATCGCTTGTTTGTGTAGGCACACGTGGTTATTGCCATTACTGTTATCTTCCCATCTCAGTAAATAGTTTTTTCTCAGTCCACGAGCTCTACCTCTGCTACAGTTCCCTCCCCCATCCCACTGAGAAGGAGACAGTGAGCGAAGGGCTGTGTGGTGTTCAGCTGCTGCTGGGCTCAGCCACAGCGAGTGACTGTCACTGCATGGTGAGCCTGTGCAGGAAGGAATCGCAGGTCACTGCGGTGTCACAGCTGCATAAGCAAAGTTGCAGACAAGGAAAAAAGGAAAGCGACATGTGGTCAGTTCCAATGAGACTCTGCGGATGGGTGGGATGTAATCTGTCCTCTTCTGCCTTGGACTTTACCAGCAGAGTCTCCCAGGCCCTGCTGCCTTGAGGCAGAGCCATAGAGAACAATCAGCATTGGGTGGTGTATGGTCACTGCTGAATCACGGCCTGAACCTCTGATTGACCACCTGCGGCGAGCCATGGCTCAGCCCTGGGAGCACAGATGAAAGCAATTCAGCTGTGCTGCTGGAAGGGATGGAGCCTGGCTGCACCTCTCCTAGTGCCATTGAAGGGCTGACTGCCGGGGGGGGAAGGATCTCTTCTGGAGATGGCTCCTTTTGGAGTTTTCCAGTGAGCCCAGGAAAAAGGTAAGCTTGTATCTATTCTTTTTGCTGTAGTAGCCTGCTTAGCTAAACTCTCTTGTATATTTCTTAATTATAACACCTGTGTATTCATTGATTATACAGGTGGAGATAAAGCCCTGAGTTCCTCAGTGCTGGATGGTCCCTGAAACTGGAAGTCCCACACCCAAGAGTGCTAAGAGAGCCAGGTGAAGTCATAGGGATGCACATTTGGGTGTGGGTCTGGCTGGGATGGAGTTGTCTGTTGCAACTCAGACGATGCTAGGTTTTAGATTTGTGACCAAAACAATGTTGATAGCACACCAATGCTGTGGCTGTTGCTGAGCCATGCTTGCAGAATGTCAGAACTTCTCTGTTTCTCACTCACCCATCCTGGTGAATAGATAAGGGATGTGCTTGAAGCTGAGAGGGAACATAACCAGGCAGATGACCAGAACTGACTGAAGAGTTGTTGCAGGCCAGGGAGCATCATGCCAAGCAGGAAAACAGGGAGCAGGGCTTGGGACCCAGCCATTT